ACAGCCTGAGAGGGGACGGCTGTGGTACATAGGCATTTTTTTCTGGACCATCTCTTAGAAGCAAGGGTGAATAAAAAATTTTCTCAGTGGTCAGAAATTGCACAGTGATATGTTATTTCTTCTTTCTTGGAAGGAACTACACATATATAATGAAGACATATAACTGCATTGTAATATATGGCGTATGGCCAATTATTTCACTGAATAGTAATAAGCTTTGGAATACGTGTTTGGAAAACTGGGGACAAGGAACGTGGTAGACATCTATGAGTATACGCTATACATTTTGAACAAGTAAAAATGTGGAAACTTTATCCTGTATGTATGCTCACCAAGAGCAACCAGAGAAAGAAAATACTGTTATTGTCAATTCACAGAATGGCCTGTTATGTCAATATCAATCTTTTTGCCCAGCAACCAATGCCATTGACTAATGGGATTAAGAACAAAATTTCTATAGTGGTAGGGATTTAGGTTATAAATCAACCAGTTGAACAAGGCAGAATCCTACTCACCAAGACTGACCTGGCTGCAGCCGTTGCTGCAGGCTCAATCTTCCAGCGGCAGAAACCCACACTGAATCCTGTTGTAGCATCATTTCCTCAGAAAGGAGGTCAGATAGCTGTCTGGTAGGAAATCAACTACAATGAGCAATTCCCATCTTCCTTGATACAGGGTTTTACTGTTATTGAAACATCCAGGCACTCTAGATATGGATTTCTCTTTCTTGAATGCAGTGTTCTTAACTAAACTCCATCTGTCTGCTGACAGAATACCTATCTATGGACTTGGGACACAGAATTCACTGGTCTTGCCATGATCACAACCATCCAGAAGAAACTGCCATATGATTATCGTCAATGACTTTTTGGGTGCCTGTTTGTATCATTGTCATTGTGGCAACAAGTTGTAATCTTCTCCGAAAGCTGTATATATTCTGAAACTACACCAAATTTGTTTCCTCTCAGGACCGTGATTCATAGATCCAAGACTGAAGGGGAGGAAATGTGGAGAGCATCACTCACTCCCATTACAAGCGACCCAGCAGAAAAAAATTGTTTTATTGTCTTCCCTTATGTTATGCTGGAGGAATCATCATATCTCTATAGAAGACCCAGAGTCCCAAACTACTGTTCAATTCCTTTGAGTTCATCATTCCTCTTCATCAAAAGTGTTAGTGTATTAGTAAGGGTTTCTTGTAATTTCCAAGGGAAGTTATCTGGAACACCGCATAGGATATCTCATTACTATTCTGTCTGATGACTAACTTTAAAGGCAAATGCAAGCCCTCAGTCCTACAGGATTACACAGGCACAACTCCTTAAGGTTTGTGACATTTTGCAATATAAGAAATCACAAGTTGCTTCATGAAGAAATACAAAGAGAGTGATGGAAGAGGGAAATTAGAATGCCCAACACAGATGATGTAACTGATCATGTATCTTTCCTCATGATTATGTATGTCATTCATGTGAACATAAGATATACTTGATTTTTTCTCATTTTCACTTCTATTATGATTCACAATAAGCACTGACTTGTTATCATACTATTTAAGTGTTATTAATTTTATAGCACAGCACTTAAGTGCTGTTACTTTTATAATGCAGTATGGGAGCTATTATGGAAAAATAATTAATCACCACTTAAGGATTTTACGACCTTTTCTGCAGTATGATTTGGTACACTTTTTGAAATAAAATAGAATATTTTAGTTAGTCACACCAGGATTTGCAGAGTATCTGTGAGGGATTAGGTCCTGAAAACCACCTTCCAGAGACAAAATGCACACATGCTTCAGTTTCTTATACCATAAGTCAAAGGACCTGCATTATCTAAGCACATCTTTCCTTATGTCTTAAATGCCCTAGAGATTACTTATATAGCTAATAGAATCTAAATCTTATACAGGTAGTCATTAGAATGTTCTTTAGTAAATCATTGCAAAAATAAGTTATTCATATTTAGCAATGAAAAATATTTTCCTAGTTATTTAGATTCAACCATAGATGGTTGAATTTTCAGATGTGGAACAACAGGGTATTCAAGAGCCAATTACATAATGTTAGTCAGAATTGTGGTTTTGTTATTGTTCTTATTTGAAGGCTAGGTATCACTTAACAATCTACTTCTGGGTTCAAAGTGACAAGTATTTGAGTTTTTTTGTGGTTGTTTGGTTTGTGGTTTCTAAGTGTTAAGAATCAGAGCCAAGGCCCTGTATGTTCTGGGTAAGTACTGTATTATAGACCTGGAAGATCCCATGCCCAAGGGGCAGACTTGTAACTCTAAATTTTATGCATCGTTTCACTGGACCAGTATTCTGCCTAAACATTATTTCTGGATGTGTCTTTGATGGTATTTATGGAAGAGATTAACATTTAAATCAGCAGGCTGAGTAGAGCAGATTGCCCTCCCCAATGTGGGTGGGCAAGATCCAATCTGCTGAGTGACTGAATGGAAGAAAATAGTGGAGAAAGAGGAGTTTGATCTCCTGACTGAAGGTTTGAGCTGCTATATGAATCTTCTCATGCCCTTGGACTTGGATTTCTATTGCCAGTAGTTACTACTATCTCTGAGGCCTTAAGCTAAATTGAAACTACAGTACCATTCTTCAAGGCATAGGCCTTCTGACTTAAACTAGAGCTTTAGCTGAGTTCTGTTTTCAGACCTTGTGACTCACAGTGGAAATCTACCACCACCTCCAGGGTGCAAATACCACACTGAGAATTCTGAGCCTCAATAGTTCTATGAGCCAATGCCCTAAAATAAATCCCTTCACGTGTGTGTGTGTGTGTGTGTGTGTGTGTGTGTGTGTGTGTGTGGTCTATTGGTCCTGTTTCTCCAGAAACAGCTCATTATTGCAATAGTAAAGAAACCATGGTACATATAAAGAATGGAATAATAAACAAAAATGAGTGATCAAGTGACCTAGTTTGCTTTGCTGTCACTTTGGTAAAACTCCCCGAAATGAGCTTGGAAGGGGAGTTTATCTTAGTACTGCCAAATCACAGTCCATATGGAAGGATGCTACAGCAGGAACGCTGGACAGGAGCTGGAGTAGAGACTGTGGGCAAATGCTGCTTACGGACTTGCTCAGCCTGCTTTCTTATCCAACCCGGGAACACTTTCCCAAAGGAGGTGCCGCCCACAGTGGGCTGGGCCATCCTATATCAATCATTAATCAAAATGGCGTCCTCACAGAAGCGCTTTGCAATCCAATATGATAGAGGCATTTCCTCGTCCTAGGTGACTCTTACTGTGTCCCAGTTACAAGGCTTAAAAAGATATAGTGTGGCTTTTAGTGTATATTAGTGAATGAAGGGCGCTGCCTCTAAACCTGAACTGACTGGACAAAGGATCCTCCTATCGTGAAGTGGTTCTGTGGGGAACCACAAAGGGACATACAGGGCACTACATATTTTTCAAACTCCGTAGAACTCACAGTGCCTATGGTGGCCTGGAGTTTGAACCATGGACTTTACGTGATAATGTCACCGTGTGGACCCAGACTCCCCAGCTCATGGTACTGGGGGACATGTGTGCATGCAGGTAAAGAACCAGAGGAACTTTGTGCCTTCGTGTGTGTTCTGAATGGAGGTATCCCTACACTTTGAAAACCATAACTCAATGCCCAAATCACATATTCTGTTGTTATCTACTTTGACCTGATAACACGATGGCAAAATAGATGTGATAATAAGGATTCAACCATTTCTTTTCCAAAAACAATGGCAATGTCATAATTTTAAGCAAAAGCAGTTCAAGAAAGAATGCGATGGAATTTTTATATCAATACTGAGCTCACTGAACCTGCAATAGAATATTAATGCAAATCTAGCATTTAATAATATTTACATCTTAAAAATTTTCATTTGGAAGTGAACATTGGGAGAAAAGGGGACATTCTTTTCAGTAAGGAAAACTTCCTGAGACATATTTTAATCAAATTTGACTCCTAAAGATTTCAATCTTTAAATTGATTCATTTGGTCATATATACTTTCAGCCAGAGTGTAGGCCCCACCCGCAAAGTCTTTCTCAGTTCACTGGGAAGCTGTCCTTCAGCCTGACTGGTTGTAATTTATTTTTGTATTTTATTTTTATGTGTGTGTGTGTGTGTGTGTGTGTGTGTGTGTTATAATGCCCATGTAAAGGTCAGTTCTACTTCCCTTGAGTAGATCCTAGGGCTTAAACTGTAATTACCAGGCCTGATGACAAGGGCCTTTAGCCCCCCTGAGGCATCTCACAGGCCTCTACTTGTGATTTATTTTAAAAGGAAGATAAATATCTTTACTCTTCAGTCAGGCTAGCCTAATCCTGCTTTTTAAATAAGAATTGGGGTAATTACTATGTATGTAAGTGTATGCTTTCTCTTAACATAGTGATCCTTTTCACAGTAAATAGTTCATCCTGAAATCATTGCTTGTTACTAACAAAATGGTAATAATGTTTGGCAGGTAATTCTATTTGCAAAGCCTCCTTGGCCAAGCTCAGCTTCTAGGTATTCTCTTAATAACTAACACTGAACAGCTTTGGAGACAGAAAACGACATGCTGATACATTATAAAAAAAGGTTTGGTTTTGCCCACATTCTTTGATGTCTCAATTGTTTTGTTTTTGGTTTTTGTACCTTCCAGGTCTTAACTGTACTCCTAATAATAGTAAATCAAAAGGATCTGGGCTAAGAACTATGGCAAATCAGAAATAAAAATAAAAGTTTAGTATTGATCATAAAATTGCCTATGAATATTGAGTACTATGGTAATTAGTAACTTTATACTCTTTTAAGGGAGGAATTTACACAGAAGAAACAAGACATATAGAAATGGGGAAAACATTAGCTATGTTTCTAAGGTTTGAATGCAGATGAACGCTTAAGCATTTTAAAAAGCCATTCATTCCCTACCGCTTTGGAAGGTACGGGTGTGTGAAGTGACACCATGAAGCAAACCACAGTGAAATCTTTTGAAAGAGTAACACACAAAGGAAGGAGCCCAGAGAATGATATGAATGATTTAATCAGATAGGATTCAAGTTTCTCCCCGGCCATTTGCCTTTTATTCTTCATTTCAGTTAGTAACATGTCCATTGGCTTATCACCAAGGTTACGCATGCACCTTGAGGTGGTCACAAAAGGTACACGATACAGGGGTTCATAATTAGGTTATACAGTATATTCAGAATCCCAGGGGAACTAATAGATTCTAGAAATATTGATTAAGCAAGATGAAAAACTCTCATACAATTTGAGCTACAGCAGTGTTAAAGACAAATACAGGCTTCATTAGCCACAAAGCTCACAAAAAAGGAATTAATTAAAGAATATCTCTTTTATGCAAAATAGACATTTTAGGATATAATTTGATAATATTCTACTATATACTGACATCTCCCTTGATCATTTAATAAAAATATATTCTCCTTGCCAGAATTTATATTTTTTAATATTTATAATTGAGGTAACAACGACAGAAGACTTAAACTCTGAATACTGTTGTGGAGGAATTCTTTTAGATAATAACACTTTTCCAGAACTGAATGAATACATGACTAAAAATTAGTTAGATTTTATATGGAGACACTAAAAGTCTACAGCACAGTGAACAAGCTGATTGCAAGAAAATGAGGCAGTCAAGTGTTTGTGGAACCAACATACAATGTACAAATACTACATCAGATTCACTGCCTTCGGTAATTCTCAACAAAGCCACCATGACCTGAAGAGGAGACACTCAAGAGTCTCATGGGCATTCCTTGGAACTTCCGGGATGTTAATCATGAAGCTGGCTTCCTGTGTTATCAGATTGTTGGAGCGGTTGACCCATGCACGCGGTGGTATTTACAGGTGTTTCCTGGACACTGGTCAGCCGACAAGCAGACTCTTTCCTTGGCGAGCACCGCTTCAGTTCCGATCACTGTTCCTTTATAAGCTTTCAATGGCTTCACGAAGGTGCAGGACCTCTTCTGAATGCAAACTGGTCACATCAGGGCACATTCAGTAGCAGAAGTTTCCAGTACAATCCTGGGTATGGCTAAATCTCACTGCCCCTTTTTCAGCAGTCAAAAATCCATGATAAATTCTGTACAACACTGCAGTCAATAACAGCAGCACCAGACAGCATATTAATTCTTTACCATAAACCTTTGCATGTTTATAGCATTCTATAGCGGTGTTATCAAAATAATCATGGTATCTCTAAGTCTCGGATGGCTACGTCTGGGCAAATACATTGCTGTACAAGATCTCTGACATGCAGTGCATGCTCTACAGCTTGGGGGTGAAGACTAACACATGCCTTTAGCCAATAACAAAGGAGACAATTGTCTTTCTATCAAAAAGAAACACGAGAGTTAGGAATTCATTAACAATCTTAAGGATCAATGTGTCAAAGGTATTGTCTACACTGCAACTATATTATGGCATTTTTCTTCCCTCATCTACCTAAAATATCAGACACACTATTGCTATGGCATTGGGTAGGGATGTGTAAACAGACTCTCTTCCCTCCAGACTGCGAAAGACTCCTTAGGGATGTTTGCTGGAATGTAGTAATGAATGCTGGTTGCTAGGTAGTAGAAATGACATTGCACTAGGCAACCAAGTACTATGGTGAGATTGCTGTTTCGGTCCTGCTCATCAAAGAAGATTCACAGTGCCTATGAATTTAGGTAGTCTACAGAGCATCGTTGACACATATACAAAGCAGAGAGGCTGCTCCAAGTAGCATAGAAGTCAGGGGGCAGGAGTAGGGAGATTAGTGCTAAGTTTAAAGAGCTTCTCAGGGATTGTCTACCCTCTGTGGAGACAGATGGCACAGACAGTTAAGACAGGGAGCTAAAGACAGACAGATGAAAACAACACACAGGACACAGCACCTGATTAAACACGGCCTGAAAAGTCTGGTTAGTCCTTGGATTCAAATTTTAAGGCTAGTCAAAAACAAAGCAAACAAGCAAAACCCTCTAGTGAACACCAGTAAACTTGGATGTTCACACAACATCATAAATAAAATTATACAAGAGCTTTGGGTAATATTTAGCACTCTACCTTTGAAAATAATGACAAATTCTAGGATTTACAAAGAGGAGGGGAGAACGGGGGTAATGGTCCTATTACCAAGCAGCAATTCCTGGCTAAACAATGCAAGCCTGGCTAGCAGTTACCTTTCTCTCATCTTTTGTGCCTTCCCCAAGTCATTAAGAAAGAGCTCTGGCCTCGGCTTGCGTGTAACCAGTAATGACAACCTCTTTGCAGTTATCTGTGTGTACAAACAACCAAAAACATTCAGAACACCAATACAGCATTTTTGAAGACAAATCATTCAAGAAATTAAGTTATTTAAAACAACTATTTCTATCAAAGAAAAGAGGGGAACATACCAAAGAGAAGGGAACCCCCTGCCCCGCAATTCAACATGCAGAACAGGCGACTGGTGCTTTCACAGTGGCAGTATGGTTTGAAGCAAGGACACATAGCCTGAGCCATCCAGTTCCAGGACTCTACAACACTGTATTCAGGTGATACAGACAAGATGGTCCATGCGAATGAACTGACCAAAGTCAGGTGGTGTGCAAACTAGCTTAGGATCCCAGACATCTTCTGAATGGTTTGGAGTCACAAGAAATGAAGATCCAATGAAGTGGTTGGCATTAAGAAGCACACTATTTAAGTATATCTCCCTGAAGATAAGGTTATACATTAGTAAGTATACTGGCCAATATCTGGCACTATTGGTCACTGAATTGCGAAAGGGAATTGGGGCAATTCATATTGAGTAGTAGCACTACGTTAAATCATCATTAAAGCCAGAATAAGATGTTTTAGCTACTCAAGTAGCATTTCTGACTTCAAATAGTTATATCATGCAGGATTTATGCTGTATTATGGAGCCTGGAGAAATGCTACATTTAATTACTTCCATTACAGGATAAACAGTACTTATTTTGATATAATTTAGCCGATTGATGCAGTTTGGTTTACAAGATAGATGGGATGGGAGATCGGGAGCGCCTCAGAGGACAAGGAGAGCTGTAGGGTGATGTTACTGGAGAAAGTCTCAGAGCATTGCCTGCCAAGCCCGCTATGTTGTTTAAGCTTCGGGATTTTTCATATCCTTTTATGAAAAAATGCACAGACATCAGTTGAATTCAACCAGAAAATAGACAGAGACAAACAATACCATGCAGGGTAATCAAAAGTGCTATTTTTGTGCCCCAACCATGTGTAAAGAATTCAATATTGAAACAATTCATACATCTAAAAACTGAAATTCACTGCATTTGGCATCCTAAAACTATTAAACCAGCTATCATAAATTATAGCTATAATGTTCCAAAATATGTTTATGTCCAGATTATAGTTAGCATTGATGCAATTTGGGTGTAGAGATTACAAAAACTTTTAAAACGTAGACAAAGCGACTTAAATAAGATTACACACTCAACACTTTAAAGTTCAGGATGTGTTTCTGAACATTAAAAATACATGAGGCATTTTTCTTTTTTAATTTTAGTGTTAATAGCAAATGAAGCATGCTTTACTTGAAGTGTACACTTGTTACCAACATAAGTATATTTTGAGTTTTACAAGTTGAAAAGGGTGATCTGAATAATAATGGCATTTTGTGCCATTATCCAGGTGATACAGGATGGAAAGTATATTACCAATCCCTTAGGAAATAAAATAAAGTTAAATAAAAAAGAAACAAATTAAATGTAAACTGAATCATAATTTCAGTGAAATAAATCTGAATCTGATGTTCTCAGATGACTTCATCTCTTTCCCTTACTCTCTAGATCTTACTGTCTAGAAATTGAGGCAAATTTTATTTTAGTCCAATATTTCCAACCTAAGCTATTGTGGGTGATATCCATGCACATGATACTAGAACAGCTTTTCAGAAACATTAGCTTGGCTGTTTTCCTTAACCACTCAGCCAGTTACCCCATCCTGTGACCTTTGGAGGGATTCACGTGGTGCAGTATTTTCAGTAGAACATTAGAGGCAGTTGAATGAGTTTGGGCTGCATCTCATATAAAATGGGACATGAAGTAGAAAGCAGGACATTTGAATGGAAATGAAGTTCTATCACACTGCTTTGGACATAAATGTTTTGGCAGTTCCACTGAACAGTTACAAGGCTGGAAAAGAACTTCCTGTAGGGCAACCAAAATTGAGTAAGTGCACACAATTCCAATGGCCTTCTTGTCTCGTGTCTCCTCTAGACTGTGTAGTACTCTCCATGGGCTCTAGTGTGCTTGCTGAACGTGGGACGAAGAGAAAAGAAAGAGTCTTTTGTAATTGCCTCTACTTCTCTTAACTGGGACTGAAGTAATTTATCTATTAATCTGACATAGGAGAGGCCAACACATATATCATCAAGACAGACTCTATAACAACCTCATAATGGGCTAACACTCAGAGAAACAGGAGAGTAGAGTAACGAACACTTCGTACCTCATGCACACACACTGATCTCCTGTAGAATGGATGTCCTCTAAATGGTTTTGTAAATAGATATTTCATTAACTATAATAGTGTTTTTAGGGGCCTGCTTTCTGTCGAATAAACATTTACCTGTCTCTGTTCTTTTAGCATCCTTTATTATGAAACATGGAGGAGGGTGTTTTCATCCCATGCGCCTAGGTGATATGATAGTTAATGGAAGAATGTCTTCATTTTTTTAATTGAAAGTAATTTATCATTACATAGAAACGATGTGCATGGTAACTCCATTGTTACTGCACTTCTCTAAAGTGGTTGATATTATAACTTTAAAAATCACAGAGAAAAGGATATTTTCTATGCAGTAGAAGTTGATTATGTGATCTAAAAATAAAAACTAGATTATAAACATTGATGAATGTTAATTACTGGTGGGAATGCATCAAAAGGGAACTTTATACTCCAAGCCCCTTACACACCTCTCAGAAATGTAATGATCTGTTAGATAATTTTATCTTAATCACCAAGTGATAGATGATCTTGATTGCTAGTCTAAATTATAGAGTTTAAAGTAAATATTTGTTATTCTGTTTACAGATCCTTTTATTTTTAATATCCATGATTTAATATCATTTAAAAAAGCTCTCCTCATTTACAACAAATATTTAATTAGTAAAATTATATGTTCTTTATACATCTTTAGTTTTACCTATTCTAAATATTTCTGATTCAAAATTCTGACATATTTTGTCCTTAATTAAACTTTTTTTTGGAGTCATTGAAAATATCAATGATGATTTGAATATAAAATCTTGGTTACACATGAAAATTAAACAATACTAAATCTACTTGGAACCAACATTAGAAAATGGAACTACAACTTTATTCAGCACCTAGGAACATGTACTTAATTGGGATAATGTCAACACTGCTATATAGATAGCATGCATGAAGGTTGTAATTTGAAAAATATGTTACTCAAAAACAGCTTTAAGAAAACACAAAGATCTTAAATATTGAAATATTACTCTTTAAACAAATCTTTCCTCTCTCTAAAAGCATTATGGAATATTTTCATCCTTATATGTAAAATAGATAGGAATCCAATAATTTTTAAATTTTATTGGATACAGAGAGTATTTGGGGAAATTTGAAATAAAATGAATAGAAATATCCATTTGAAAAGTGAGTGTATCCTATAGGATGTAAATATTTGGGAAGAATAAAAGAACTCTATAAGCTCTATAAAGGAAAGAGGAAGGGCAACGGATGGCTTGCTGGTAGATGTGACAGCCAAGGACAAAGTCAGCATGGTTAAGCGTTTCCAGAAACAATACCCACAGAGGGAAAACATACAGCAATTAAAACAAAGTGGAAGAGTTGGTGTCACAAGGCAAGGAATAATGAAGCACAAAAGGCTCATGTGAGCTAATCAGTTTACAAAACCAGTCCTCAACCAAAAAAAGTCCTTTTGTGAACTAAAGCTGTATGTATCTCTCCATGCAAAATAAGTATCTTATTAAGTGCTTTGTTCATAAAGATTTGCGATTTTGTAGTAAAATTTTATATTAACATGCTAGCTTATCATGTGCAGAGCTTTTCTCAGACATTTCTCAACTGTTTAAAGTAGAAAGTATTATTTGACACGGAAGAAAATTTGATTCAAGATATTTATATACATTACCTTTGTATAAGCACAGTATATAATACTTTAATGGAAGATGTATAAAGATGAATATGTGTTTTATCTAATATACATATATGTGTGTATACACATATATACATGTATATATACAGAGATAAACTTTTAGAATATATATGCATTTAGGAAACTGTTTTGAACACAAGATATTACTATTAGTGTATGTTTGTATATTTTGCTCAAATACTATAAAACTTTAGCTATCCTCATAAAACATTTAAACTTTAGCACACATATAAATATAACTTAATAAAGAAACCCATTCAGAGAACTGCAGCACATTTTTGTCCAAGGAACACATGGAAATAATTGGGATGAAGAATTATTTGATATATTACTCAGCAAAACAAATGAAAACAAAGTGAAGAGTCCTCTGCTTTCATGTCTCAAAGACATTGAAAGCAGAAAAGCAATAAAATGCTCAGAAGAAATAAAAAGGAACTGGAGTTTGAGCTATGAGAAGCTTTCTAAGGGCGCCACCACAAAACAAACATTTTAAGTTTAAAACATTGAAGAATTGGAAAAAGTGCTTCGCAAAACAAACATGGACATCAATTACAGAATAAAATGGAACAAAACGTGAGATTTTCTGTTCAGATTTAGCTAACAAGGGTAATAAATAAGTTATTACAGATCTTTTCCTGTTCTTTAACCAAGACACTTGCTCGACCATTTTAATTCCATCAACAAATAAATATTGATCATTTCCTTAATGTTAACTACTGTTTAGTGTCCAGTGAAAAATATTAACGGTTTTAAAATTATTTTGGGGTCTAGGGGAAAAAATGGGTAATTTTAATCACACAAGTGACCTTTCAAGCAATTTTTACAAAAGCACATGGCAGAGTGGGGGATCTTGCCCATTGAGACAGTCATTGAAGCTACTGGCATTTGCTGCCCTGGTAAGTGTTGGGAAAGCTATTTAAAGGGTATTTAGCTCTTCCATTTGAAAAAGAATATACCTTATCGATTGTTTCATGGTCATCAATTACTTAACAAATATAGTCATAGAGCCAATTAGTGAGTATTGTTTTAATACAAAAGATAACTTTTAAAGACTGCTAAAAAAAAACACTATGATAAAATAATTAATGACTGACTTAATGTGTTTACCTGTTCTTACAAATGGTAAATGGAAGGATGAAGAAAGTATAAAGAATAAAGGGTAATGTAACAATAGAGCAGTCTGTCGTAATGGCAATTATAAAATGCTTATAATGAGAGATGTAGTGGAGAGAGTAAACCACATGCAGCGTTCCCTGGAAACATGACGATGATCAATTTGCATCGCTCTTACTTAATGGCTACGTTGCCTACTACGATTTGATTAAATGCATGCCTACCTTTCCTGATCCCTCCATCAGAAGTGCACGTGTAATCACCTGTCGTCAATAGGAAACACGTTTCCCCTCTTCTGTTTTTGTCTCTGGTACTAGAGCGTCTGATGGGGAGCCTTTCTGGAGGTGATAGTGGCGGCTCACTTCCTGTACTGTCGTCACCTGATAACACTGGTCACAGCACCACGCCATTGACAGACAGGGACGGATGAGGAAATGAGACAGGACAAAGAGTTTACAGCAGATGCCTGTAGTCCAGTCACTCAATATACAGCACACAGTACTCACATCACCGTACTCAGCACAATAAAGAGAATTACACCAAGAAAAATGAAAATGCATTGAAAAAGGGAGGAGTGTTCCTTACAAAATTCTGATTCGTTTTTGGAATCGAACGGATATTGGCTTTCACACAGGTGGTATGAACTCAAAACAAATGCAGTAATAAGTTTGGACAAGTTTACCATGTAGTTTGTTACATGTTATTCAGACACCGTGAATGGAAAGGGTTAACTTAGGAAAAAACTCTTGAGTAGTGACTGGCCTTGCAGTTCTTAAGGAGACATGTTTTTCTTAGTTTTCTGAAATTCAACTTCCCACCCCCGAAAAAATCCTTACTAAAATAATCCCGAAGCTTAAGAACTACCATCCCACTTTGAAGACTCAAGATCATTTTGAACAAAGCACACAGCAAAGATCTCCCATGTCTGTGAGAGTGTTGTTTACTTCTGCATGCTTGTCAGGGGCTTTCTATATACACCGGCCTGCACACGGGCTTGATACTACAGTGTTGAATGGAGAAAAAGATGTGTCCTCTTTAACCATGGCTTTCTTAAGGGTTCTGCAAAAATACACTGAGAGCAGTGTAATAGCAACCACCCCAGCTAAGTTGCCCCTTTCAGATAAGTATTCTCTATAGCTGTCAGATATGTGTTGATAGAACTTCCAGCTGAAATCCCAAATGCATATATAATGACGGCGGATGAAAATTTTAAACAACAGATTCATCTCCAGTCACACTTCTTCCAGTTTTGTGTTTGCCTCATCAAAATTTTCAGAAGTTGAGGTGGACCTTGTTTCTAAATGAGACCTGAGACCATCAGCGGTTATTATTTTTTCATATAAGAAATAGTTAGAATAGATCTAAACGAGATTAAGCTATTTAAATTGATAATCTAAAAAATATTGTATTTTACTAGGACATAATAGACAAGCAAGAACTTCCTCTGTCTTGGCTTAAACAGACTGACTCTCAGCTCAGACTCAATTAACTGTGTGTTGCCTCTAGCATATAAGAAGCAAGATTCCAGCAAATGCCGAGCAATAAAATATTCAAAGTACAGTTCTAGCAATGAGCAGAGGCCAAGGCACAACACAATAAGAAATGATTGCTGGAATGAGATGGAGTTTTGTCATTGGTTACCATGGCAGATCACCTGTGCCCTGAACCATGGTGAGTGTTTAATTTTTGCATTATATATGACTTTGTTTCATGAAAAGAATCAGGTTGCAATATCCTACCTAATTTTAAAATGATAAAAATTTAGTCAGTCTAGAATATTACTAATAATGAGCTTTCTTATTGAAATAGCTGTCTTCCACATCACCTTTTTAGTGTCTAGGCCTTTGACATGCAAGCATCCATTCTCCTTAAGCAACTGCTTCTCCTGAACGAGGTTGAGAGGCAGGGTACCATGTGGCAGAGGTAAAGCTGAGACAAACACAGCAAGCCAAATGAGATGAAGGTGAACATTTGGAGGATGAGGAGTGGGAAATGGTTCAGGTCATACCATCACATCATGCCGAGAAACAAAGAAACATTGGTACAGAAGCAACAAATGGGCAAAAGAAAATATTGGCACTATCAGCAGAGGTCAGTCCCGCCAACATCAGAAACCCCCACAGACCTGCTCTGCAAGACCCAAATGTAGAGATGCTACAGTCCAGTTATCTATAAGCCTCACAGACACACATTTTAGGAGAAGTTGAAATGGAAAACTCATATATATTTACAGCTACCCTCTACCTATAGAATATGAGTATAACGTGGTCCACATTTGAAAGCATGCCTTACCTGATCTGTTATGTTCCAGAAGCCGGTTTTCTTTACTCAGACACGTGTCACCCTGGGTACTGTTGCAAGCCATATTTAACTCTGTCTTGCAAAATGTAGGTGAGCTTGCCAGAGGCGCAGGAGGAATGTGCTTCTTTCTTTTCCTCGGAAGTTTCTGCTTCGCCATTGCCAGGGAGTAATACATTCCGAAATTGTTGACAATGACAGGCACGGGCATGGCTATTGTCAGCACTCCAGCCAGAGCACATAAGGCCCCCACCAGCATCCCTGACCACGTTTGGGGGTACATATCCCCATAGCCTAACGTAGTCATGGTCACCACAGCCCACCAGAAACCAATGGGGATGTTTTTGAATTGGGTGTGCTCACTAGCTGAGGGGTCATTCGGCTGTGCTCCCACTCTCTCGGCATAGTAGATCATCGTGGCAAATATCAAAACTCCTAGAGCCAGGAAGATGATGAGCAGCAAAAATTCATTGGTGCTGGCGCGAAGAGTGTGTCCTAGCACCCTCAAGCCTACAAAATGGCGGGTGAGCTTGAAGATTCTCAGGATCCTCACAAACCTAACCACCCTGAGGAAGCCAAGCACGTCTTTAGCAGCTTTGGAGGAGAGCCCGCTGAGTCCCACTTCTAGGTAGAAAGGGAGGATGGCCACAAAGTCAATGATGTTCAAGAGGTTTTTGATGAATTCAAGTTTATTGGGTGAAAAGACAATACGCACTAAAAATTCAAAAGTAAACCACACCACACACACTCCTTCTACATACGTCAAGGCAGGATCCGTTTCGATCTCATACTGGAGAACGGGGCTTGTGCCATTGATGACTGGCTCTGTCTTGTTTTTAACAATATTGAAAGCTTCGTGAGTCTCCAGGCAAAAGGTCGTGATGGAAACCAAGATGAAGAATAAAGAAGCAAACGCAATAAACTGCAGAAAGAAAGAAACAGAAATACACAGTGACCTGAACCATCAGACATATATCTGAATCCAAATGGCACTGATCGCTGTCAACCAAAAGGGTAACGGAATATTTGGGGATGTCACTTGGGATGCTTCTAAAAAGCTAACCAGGCCGGAACCGGAGAGTTCTCCAAATTCTTGTCTTTGCTCACATATAGCCAAAGCCTTACTTTTTGCTTTGTGAAGGAGGGAAAACTGTGAAGAAACCATAAAAGTTATCTCATAACAAGTTTTGAAGACAATAGTCTAAAAAAGAAAAATGAAATTGTGACAATAATTCCAATTTTGACAATTGCTTATGACTTAGAAATTTTAAAACACGGTTTGCAACTGCAGATAAAAGGCAGATTACGTGCTTGGGAATTTAGGAATCGTGCAAATGTAGCTGTCAGCTTCTACTTATCAATAAAGTGTTTTGGGTATCATGCTATTGATATATGAATATATTTCATGAATATGAAAAGAATACTTGCAGTGTACAATACGCTGAAGGTAGAGACTGCCCAATTAAGTAAGTCTGGATGAAGGGCAAACTCAACCAACATTAATTAAAAGAGAGAAACTGAGTTAGGGAGGCAATTAGAATACAATTATCTTCCTAGACTTAAAATAACAACTTGAAAATGCTGGTGTAATACATTATAAAGCTAGTTTTTCAAAATCGATGATTCCATTTCTTTAGTTAATGATACATGAACGTATATGCACCTACAAACACAGATTAATTCTTTTTTTATTTTTTATTTATTTATTAAAGGTTTCTGCCTCCTCCACTCCACCGCCTCCCATATCCCTCCTCCTCCCCCAATCAAGTCCCCCTCCCTCATCAGCCCAAAGAGCAGTCTGGGTTCCCTGCCTTGTGGGAAGTCCAAGGACCTCCCACCTCCTTCCAGGTCTAGTAAGGTGAGCATCCAAACTGCCTAGGCTCCTACAAAGCCCATACGTGCAGTAGGATCAAAACTCAGTGTCATTGATCTTGACTTCTCAGCAGTCCTCATTGTCTGCTATGTTCAGCGAGTCTGGTTTTATCCCATGCTTTTTCAGACCCAGGCCAGCTGGCCTTGTTGAGTTCCCGATAGAACATCCCCATTGTCTCAGTATATGGGTGCACCCCTCGCGGTCCTGAGTTCCTTGCTCGTGCTCTCTCTCCTTCTGCTCCTGATTTGGACCTTGGGATTTCAGTCCGGTGTTCCAATTTGGGTCTCTGTCTCTGTCTGCTTTCATTGCCCCATGAAAGTTAATCTCCAGGAGGATGACTATATATGTCTTTCTTTGGGTTCACCTTCTTATTTAGCTTCTCTAGGATCCCAAATAATAGGTTCAATGTCCTTCATTTATGGCTAGAAACCAAATATGAGTGAGTACATCCCATGTTCCTCTTTTTGGGTCTGGCTTACCTCACTCAGGATAGTGTTTTCTATTTCCGTCCATTTGCATGCAAAATTCAAGAAGTCATTGTTTTTTACTGCTGAGTAGTACTCTAATATGTATATATTCCATACTTTCTTCATCCATTCTTTCGTTGAAGGGCACCTAGGTTGTTTCCAGGTTCTGGCTATTACAAACAATGCTGCTATGAACATAGTTGAGCATATACTTTTGTTGTATGATAGGGCATCTCTTGGGTATATTCCCAAGAGTGGTATTGCTGGGTCCAGGGGTAGGTTAGAACGCAGATTAATTCTAAGAACTCCCAAGTATATAGTTCTGGCTAGACCCACACTGTTGAACTGATTGACACCAATTTGCATAACAACGCTACCACTAGCCCCATTTTACAATTCAGGAATATCAAGTCAGGCTATTTACATCCTTTTTTTTTTTCTAGGACAGTTTGATTAAAGTGATCGGGTCAGACAGCACCCTGACAAATTTAGCCACAACATCCAGGCTTTTAAGTTATAGAATTCCAATAGGAAGAATACAAATTGTTGAAACCTTTTCCCCTAGCCCAGGGTCACACAGTTCTTAATACTACAGATCTGAACCTTTGAAATGCAGGTGTTGGAATGGAGGAAACTGCTGTCCTTCACTGGAGGCACTGTAGCATGGCTGAGGCCTCTAGTACTCTCTTGGAATGTCGCAGAAGCCACACTTGCTGAACGAGCAAGCTGTTCCTTTCATAAAGAGTGAAATCACCAGGAGAAAGAAACTGTAGCCAAGCAGGAGCTCTTAGTTGAACATAATGGACTAGTTCCAATATCCAATCTGTGCCCTGACAGATGTTCTTCAAGCATGGCTGCCACTGAGAAGGGCTGAGCTGCAGTTCAAGAAAATAGACCCCCTTTTTTAATTCAATAAGCTTGCGGTGACATCACAAAAGGACTAATCAATGTGACTGTCTGCCTTAGACAACCACCCCAAATTAAAGACTTTCACAGGTACTCTGAGCATATCCATCACACAGCACTGAACAAATCTCACATCTACAGCACTGACCTGGTCCCTGTGCACATCTTCCAAGCACTCTTGATTCTGGCATTATAATCCAACTGTTCAGTTTTATGGGACATTTGAGATGTTAACTTATTCCATTTCACTTTCTCATTTCACGTACAAATAAATACACAGCTCTGATCAGTCAATTGTTGCAAACTAAGTATCACGACAGCTTTACATACACTAAACAATGACGTGCTGTAGCTATGTGTGATGGGTAATTGATTTGGAGCCACATCCTTCCTGTAGCTCTAGATTTGAAAGTTTCTGATTGAATGGGACACTTTTTGTAGTTAGAGCTTTGCACATGTGTCGCTACTCTTCTCCTTTCCCTCTCCCCCACAGTACCCGTAAGGCCATTCTGTCCCCTCCACTTCAGAGTAGGCATACTATTAGCATGCAGAGTCTACGATCTATCGATTAAGCTGTAGTTTGATGTTCTGCTTATACACATCTTCAGGAAGCACTCTCTTCAGTGGACACTGTAATCCTAAATGGCACCATTGCATAGGGAGTCTAATAGTTTCACCTTTCAGAAAGTCCTAGTGTGCCTGCCACATTCAAACAACCAAAACAGTTCTACAATATGCATTGATGCTTGTCAAAAAAATAGTACTTTTATAATTGGGCACTTCTTTATTATACCATTGCTCATGCATGCATGCATACAGCGTATTAGGTGCTCCTCTTCGCCAGGCCTCAGGTCAAGCTTTTAATTTAATAGCAGTTAATGGAACAGAAGCCACCGAGGAATTCACAGTGCAATGAGGACACAGACATTAAATTCATTAAATACACAAAGGGTCTGTAATTGTAGTTGTCATAAGTTCAGTAAAGGAAAAATATATGAGATTTTGAAAGGATGAACATGGACTGTGTTTGGGAGGAAGGGGCCCTGAGACCTTTGCTCACAGTCTTAAATAAGAGATGAGCACATCCATTGCCCAGAAAAGAAGAAATTTAAAGCCATGTAAGAGAGCTTAAAAAAGCATTCTATAGTTTTTTGACTTGAGAAAGGAGAGCATAGCTCTGGCTAGCCTTGAATTCTCTATGTGAGTCACCATGACTGGGAATCCCAGGTTCTCCTGTTTCCAACCCCAAGAGCTAGGATGACAGGCTAGCACCATCAAACCTGTAGTAGAGAGCAAACTCCAGGCTTTCTGCATGCTAGGAAATTATTCTGTCTACTGAGCTATGTCTCCAGCCAGTTGTTCTTTCTTTCTTTCTTTCTTTCTTTCTTTCTTTCTTTCTTTCTTCCTCAACTAATGATTGGTTACAATACCACAAGAGCTCCAGGTTTTCCAAATCTGCCAACAGTGTATGGACTATCCTTTATAAAACCCATCAATCAGTGGGACTGTCTTTGTAAAGGTTAATCCATTTCTCTCAGGAAATGTTATTAATGGCAGAAATAATACCCAGGTTTTAGAAAAGGGGACAAAGTGACTTTAGATGAGTGGTTCTCAACAGTCCTAATGTCGTGGCCCTATAATATAATTCTTCATGTTGTGATGATCCCCAACCATAAAATTATTTATCATGTAACTGCGATTGTGCTACTGTTATGAATTATGTCAATATGTGTGCTTTCCATTGGCCTTAGGCAAACCCTATGAAAAGTTATTCAACACCCAGAGGGGATCACAACCCCCAGGTTGACAACCATAGCTTTAGAGACACTTAATTCTTAATAGTACCATTTTGAGCTTGTTATTCTGTGTAATTCACTTGCTTGAAACTACTGTATGAATTTGAGACAATGTGGAAATAGAAAATGCCTGCTAAAGTGATATTTTTATTTGAAACATAGACTATTTTAGTAAACTTTCTAAAATACAATTATTTCCTCAAAATGCTCTTAGAATACAGTGTTTATTTGCATTGAGGCATTTGCCTTTGGAAACAAATTATGTTATTCAACCCTGTTCTTAAATCCTCTGAAGAATATACAAAACTATGAATTCCTTATTCCCCACCACCATAAGATACCAGACTTTCTTCTGCAGGGAGAGGAAATTAACATTTAACAAGGTTCCCAGGTGATTAATATGCATATTAAAAATTGAAAAACAATTTCTTGTGCATTTTTCAGAAAAAATGAAACAAATTATCTAATGAGCTCAAATAGTCTTCAATTTATAAACATCCATCCATATTCTTAATAAAACTCCCTGGAGACTTACATTTACCAGCTCTATAACAACATGTTTGGATGTTTATTTCTAATTTGATGTAATTCTGCCTTTTTCCAAAAATAGTTTTGAGCCAAGAAGGCATCTGAACAACATATAAATGCAAACAAGTTTAAAACATAAAGCTCTGGAGCCCAGCAACTGCATGGAACTAGCAATATTTGTGTCACCAATATTTTAAAATCCATAAAAAGGGGGCTGGAGAGATGGCTCAACAGTTAAGAGCATTGGACGCTCTTCCAGAGGACGTTGGTTCAATTTCTAGCACCTACATGGCTGTTCACAATCGTCTGTCAGTAGATCTAATACCTTCTTCTGGCTTCTGGGAGAACCACA